TTAAGTCCAGGCTTGTTCTGAGAATTTTTCAAGATTAATCCCGGAAAGTGAGTCTCCAGTAAGACCTCTTTGTGGTTGTTGTATTACTCTCCGTTTGGTATTTTTACCAGACCAATGCCATTTGAGTGTTTTTCTGTAGATGTTGTGCTGAGGTTGATTCATTTATCCCTTCGCAGAACTGTCTCCAGGTTTGGATTTTCTTAAGGCTATATTGTACTCTTACCATGCTAGAAGAGCGTTTAATAAATGTATTAATGAATATTCCTATGAAACTTGTTCTAGAAATAGGGGATTAAATCTGCATAAATTCTAACTACGCCCATTGGTTAATAAATACCCAACGTAAAAAATATTGCCGCCATTATTTTCCAGACAAAAAATAAAATTTAAATTTTCCATTGAAATTAAGATCCTATGGGAATTTTTATAAGTAAAATAATTCCGATATAATAAGGCATCTAGCTTATTAAATAGTAAATCTTGAATACAATAAGGGATAAAATGTGAAGAAGCGAGCGAATAAGTATATAAGCGAACAGATTAGGAGAAGCGGTCTATTTTATAAAGCTCCAATTTGAGCGAACTAGTTAAATTGCGGAGTTGGAGTGGCAGACTTGAAGAAAAGGGATCAAGGAATAAAGGCTCCCTTATTTTATCGTAATGGAGAATTAAAATTTGTTTTCTCGTAATGTGTGATTTGTTACTTTAGCTGCTCATTTGAAATTTCTTTCAATTATGTCCACATACCTAGTATTATTTAGAATTTTAAATCTGAAAATATGATATGATATAAATAATAAAAATAATCTGCTAGATACGTTTGTATCTATAAATGAACTTTCAAAATTGTCTTTTTGAGATAGATTGAAATAAAACGGACAAAAAATATTGGTTTAAAAACTCTTCCCTAGCCAGAAAAACTTCCGCAAAGTTTTAATTTTTTTCCTAAAGCGGATAGTTATTTCCATAATTCATTTTTCCAGAATAAGGAAAGTATCGTGAACTTTTGTACACGCTAAATGTCTTAGCATCAAGCAATGAACCGTAAAATTGTGACCTGATACATTTTATTTAAGCATGTCTGCTTTTCTTGAAACGAAATATCCGGATAGCACTTTGGCAAATTTCAACGTTCTGTTCACTTTTATCGTTATAGCTTTGATGTATTACAATGGTTTTATCTTTTTATAAGAAGCCAGATAAAAGGGTTTTTTCTTCAAATGCTAGAGGATTTATTGATAACTTTTTAATTTGCGCATTGCTACGATTCGGAACACCAAAAAACTCTCCAAAATTAACTTCAATGGTTACTCAATCTAATCAAGTCACTGAATTTATTTGAAGGTAGACAAAATTGCGCCACTTCGAGTACGAACATGCGAAAGGAGAGACATACAAAGATGATGATGACTTTTGGGTTTAAAAAACTTCTATAGAAGAACCCTTGCTTGTGCCAGGATGATTATCCAGAAGCTGTTGTGGACTCGTTCAACTGCCTTACTATGAAATTTATTGTTGAGAATATTTGGATATTCTTGACTATATGCCAGAATATTGTTGATAAACAAAAAAAATAGCACTGGGAGCCCTGAGTCAATTAGGTAACCATAGTTGTCTCAGATTCGAATCCACCAAGACTTTCATGTTGTTTTCGGCCTGTCAGATAAGACACAATCGACTTTACAAGTCTTTCATCGATTCTAATCCTCCTCAATTCTACTAATGAGAGGTTGTGTGATACACTATCGAATGTTGTTTGAATTGCATCAGCCTGTGATCCTGCTTCAAGATTTGTTCAATAAGGAATTGGTGATTTGCGCCATTTGGATATCATATCAAACAAAACAGCAAAGCGTGTATTACTAAGAACCACTGAGGACTTACACAGGCGCTAAGATCAATGTCAGCACAAATTTCTGTCGTAATTCTAAGACTTATCAATCATTCAAAGAAATTAGCAAGCGAAGGCAGTTTAAACCCAAATTAAATTTAAGAAAGTTATACTCTTTTGTGACAATTATAAATGCCTGTTACAAAAACTGTTTACCCTCTGTTGACATGATGTTCAGATCAAAAAGGAGCAGGTAATTAATCATCGGCGTCCTTTTTAGATAGCGTCTCAGTACATTTGCCTTCCGAAACTTTTCATTCTATATAGAAAACGGCCAAAAGTTAGGTAAAGTTATTTCAATGAACGTTTTACAAATTCACTTCCTCCTAAGGGCTATTTAGAAATCTATTGAAAAGTTCAAAAAGTATTCGGAAAGGTAGGAGGCGCCCCGCTGAGTTGTTTTGACTCCGATTTTATATCGGAAGTTGGGATCGATTATTGTCAACACCCTTATTGAAACTGTATCAAGCTGTGAAGTAATGACTATTGCAGTTCTATTTGAACTTTTGTCTAATTATTGCTTGACCGTTGGTGTGGACAGGGCAGTTAAAGTGAGTGGGTCATTCTACTTCCTCCTTCCGAAGGGTTTTAATTGTTCGGTTTATTTATGTGCCTCCTGTTCAAAATGTTTGTATATACTTTAACTGGAATTGGCTCTTATTGCGTGGGAAATAATGTCAGTTTTTAGAGAAAAAAATATCCCGTAGGTCTATAGGGATATTTAAGATATTATTTATTGAGTTGCAATTATTTGCTTGACGTTGTTGTAAAGAAAAAACGAATCATTTGAAATGTAAGTGAAATACCAAATTTTATTGAAAGAAGCCCTGCAAGCCCAGTATTCTCAATGAGTTTTAGATCTGGGGATTGAGCTGTCCATTCAAAAACGCGAATATTTCGCTCCAAAAAAAATTCTAGTGATTGAGTGATTCTCGAAGTAACTGATGGAGGGGCAATATCGTGCATCAAAATCAAATTTAGATTGACAATGTTTCTGTATGGAACAAAAACAGGTTTTAGGAAACTTGATTGTTTGCCAATGGAAAACTAAACGGGGTCTGTTAAATTCAACTTCTTGTGCCTCGTGCTTTCCAAGACGTATGCCTCCCAAAAATCTGGATACAAATCAAACAAAGATTCATTGATAAATAAAACGCTTCTTCATTTTGCTCTCAAATCACATAGTTTTATGAACTCAGTCGAATGGTAGATTCCTCCAGTTCAGAAGTTCGCACATCCAAGGCCTTGATAAACTTCCAAAGCAACATCAAAGTAGCGGAAACCGAACGGGAACTTCGAATAAAGCAGGACGCGCACTGAATCGACTCGGCGAAGAGCATTCGGTAGTTTTTGATACTCATGCAATTAAATGAGACTCCGCGCACGGCATCGAACTCGTCGACTCGACGTGGTCGACTCGAGTCTCATTTAATTGCATGAGTATCAAAAACTACCGAATGCTCTCCGCCGAGTCGACCGGTCCGAGTCGATTCAGTGCGCGTCCTGCTTTAGTCGTTGTTACGTAGTTATCACTAAAAAACGCCTTTCTAGTTTTTTTTATTTTTGTTTAGAGTTTTTTAGTGATTCTGTAGTTATTATTACTACAATTTGGAACTTCATAGCTTTTGAAGTTTCTAGAACGGGATTGTTATTATGTGAAATAACTTTGAAGTCGCAAAGCCTTGAAGTAATATTTGATAGTTCCAGTTACTTTATCTTTTTACTCGTATATCACTTCAAAGTTTTTATTACTTTATGAGCGTTGAAAGTACCGTTAAAAGTCGTTGCTAGTTTTGAAATTTCTTCAGAGTTATGGAACTATGTAATGATATTTTATTAAAACTACTGCACAGTAATTTTTACTTCCCACTTTGTCTAAAAATCACCACAAGGTTCCAATTACTTAATTAACATCGGATATATTTTCGTTTCGGAGGTTGAAGTTCCAATAGGAATTTCATAGTGCCATAGGGAACTTTATCGTGACCTTTGGGAACTCTGACATTGTTTTGTAGTTATCGCGAGTATACAGGGTGTTTTTTAATTGATTGTCAATATTTAAGGAGGCAATTTTTAAGTCCATTTTAAGAAGAAAACTTCATATGAATGTATGCTCTAACCGTCTTAACTTTTGAGCTACAGGGCGATAGAGTTTTAATGCAATTCGTCATGCATTTACTATGTATCAAGAGGCATTTTTCAACGTACCACATTTTATTCAATTTCCACCAGTGGCGTTCGTACGGAATTTGACTTGCCTATTTTGGCAGACATTGATGCTATACGACACTGGTTTTTCTCAGAATAAAAATTATTCTTGAAATCATCAATCATTTCTAAGCAAAGTTGATTGCTTGAGTTTTTACAATCCGACGCACGGTTTTCATCTAAAAAAATAAATTCTATTTCTCTGCATGGCACGATAATGATTATGATCATGCAGAGAAACGGTTTCAATTTTTTCAAGCGAAAACCGTGCATTGGATTGTGAGAAATCAAGTGATCAACTTTGCTTGAAAATGATTGGGGATTTCAAGAATAATTTTTATTCTGAGAGAAATCAGTGGCGTACTATCAACGTTTGCCAAAATAGGCAGGTCAAATTCCGTACGAGCGCCTCACTGCTAGAAATTTAAAAAAATGCATGTACATGTATGCCAAATTTCATTAAAATATCTAAAGTGGTTTCACAGATATCTCAAAAGTTGAGACGTTTAGGAGACACGTTCATGAAGTTTTCTTCTTAAAATGGACCCAAAAATCGTTATAGAACGGTAAATTTATCTTACAGATAGTTAGGTACCAGCGAGTTTATCTGAAGATGTAACATATGGAATGTAGTAAATTGAGGGGCTCAGTGGGGTTTAATTTCAATTGTTTATCTAAAATAAAGCAAAAATATATAATATTTGAAATTGTTTATAGAAAAAAGAATTGAAAAAATAAATTATCTCTCTCTGTAAGTAGGTACCTAAATAATATGTTTAAATATTTACATCACAGCTTGGTTTATACACAAACATACAAGAAAATATACAATTATTACTATTTACAAGAAATTACAATTTGTAAACTATATGCATTTTCATTCAATATAGTATATTTTCATTTAATACATCATAGGAAAAAACGGATATCCATTAGTTTGTCCGGACGCCCAAGCTTCAAACGGCAACACCACGGGAACGGCGTATAAGCCTCTAGGTTGAAAATGTGTCCGGGAATGCTTTTTCAAATGATCTTTTCTCCCGAAACGTTTTCCGCAATGGCTACACGGGAAAGGCCGAAGACCCGAATGTATCCTCTTATGTCGTGTTAACTCTTCATTTCGCGTAAAAGTTTTTCCGCAATCTTTTTCGTCGCATTTGAAAGGGCGTTCGCCTGTAATAAAAATAAATAAAGATAAGTAAAACTATTAAACAAGAAAATATAACAATTCTAAGTTGAACAAACTCGAAGTGACAATACCAACTAGTCTTCTACATTACTTTTCATTATTCGTATGGTAGAATTCAGTCAATCAGCTAAAAACTTTACTATAGATCAAATTCTTTTAGTTTATGTCCAGAATAAAATGAAATCGAACTTTCTGAGTGTATGAGATTATAGCAGATCAGGACTATTTTTAAAGGATCATGGTTTATTGAACTAACCCACACAAAAGCACATTTTATCAATTTAACCATTTTGTGTAAATTTGGGCAATCAAAACAATTTTCCCAACTAATTGAAAAGTCGTTACAAATTAACCAATAGTGCCTCTTTGTACCACACAAAAAATATTACAAAGAAAGCTTTACATTGATAGTAACCTAACAACAATCCTGTAACATACCTGTATGTATTCTAATATGTCCCTTCAATTGTCCATTATTCGAAAACCCAACATCGCAATGTGGACACTTATACTTTTTTGGTCTCTGTTTTTTGGCGGCTATCAATTTGGATTGCTGTTCCTGGCTCAACACCCGTGCGTATTCTTCTAAAGCATATCCTTGAGCTAATGACTCCAAAAGTAGAGGATCGTTTGGAGGTAGTCCAAGGTGTTGAGCAAGATTTGCTTGAACTAGTTCGTTGTTTATGTGATAAGGGTCTGGTAGATATTCTGTTGATAGTGTTGTTGAGAAAGCTTCTGGACACATCGATGATGATGATTGATGGCATAAATTAGTTTTCAAAATGTCATGGTTTGTTTTTGTATTGCACCCTGAATCACTTTGTGGAGAAGGACACTTTTTCACAGGTGAAATTTTTGTTGGCGACTTTTCTGGCGTTTTACATAAGGTATCTTCAAATTTTTCTTCAACTTCTTCATCTTTGGTCGTGGTAGATATTGTAGAATCTTGCGAATTATCTTTTACATCACTTTTTGTTACTTGATTATCCCACGGCCTAAATATTCTAGTATTACACTTATTCTCTTCTTTCCTCATTTGATAAGGACACAATTCGTTGTTTATATACATTATTTTTTTCTTATAGCAATACACTTTACACTCTTGACCAGTCCTAACTAAACAAACTTTAAAGAAAATGTTTGGTATATAGCCACCCCTCGCAATTTGGTGGGCAGTCCTTGTGGTGAAGTGGGGGTAAAACGCATAATCTCAACAATACCATAACCCTCTTTTGTATCGTTCCATTATTGAATGAAATGGATATTTCTGGGGTTCATTGAATAAGGGCCGGCATGGGGTGACTTTTAAGGTAGCTGTTGCCGACTCGGGGAGGATTTGTGTAACTGTTATGATTTTTTACGCTTGTCTTTTTCTAAATGCGGTCGAATTTAGTTGTAATCTGGTTAGGGTATAATGACATTTCAGGTACCTAAGCGGATTAGAACTGAATGTGCAAATGGAGTGATGCTAAGCTGATAGGTAATTGTTGATAAGTTCACAGAACATTTAAGACAATTTTTTTTTGTTGGTAGGTTCATACAATTTAGGTTATTGGAGAACAAAATCTCCATTGGTGCATCATGTATTGATGTTACAATTACTATTAATAAAGCTAAATCAGTGCGGCATTATTTTATAGTATGAGGAGCCCTAAGCAGTAATATTGATATACAACTTCATGATAACGTAATCCATATCAAGCTGAATCTATCTACATACAAAGCTGCAAATTCAAATTCAAAATAAGCTTTATTGTCAGAGAATAAAAAAAAAACTTATTGATTATGATACATTTTACAGAATAATTAATAAAACTAAGTCAGTAAAATAAATGAACATTTACATTGTAGGCGCAACAATTATTATTATATTAGTAAATGATACAAAAAACAAACAAATCACAGACAGATTTGAAACTAGCATAAATACAAGTTATAATATAACAAATCGCAAAAAAATCTTAAGATTTGGAAAAAATAGAAAAAGACAATAAACATTCACTAACGCAATTTGAGGTCAAAGTTATCTAATGTCGGTGAATTTTTGTACAACAGCTGTAATAGAAGCAGGAAGGTTGTAATTTTGTGTGAAAACATTTAGAAATTCATCATTCATCAGTTTGTAAAAGGCATGTTGAAGTAAAATGCTTTTCGAATGGCTGCGAAACCTTGAAATATCTGAGTTGCAGGAAGATGATTATAGAGTTTCACGCTGTTGTAGATGATTGAATTTTTCACAAGAGTAGAGTATCGCATGAAAAAGGTGGGTTAGTGTACAGGGAACGAAGATAATTGTTTATGTATGAGAATAACCGACTCAAGGATAAAAAGACAAGGCAATGTTGAGATATTATATTTTTTAATTAAGGGTTTGCAGTGTTCCACTGAAGAAGTACCAGCGATAAAGCGCACTTCTCACTGCTGGAGTTTACATACTGACTGAAACAGGTATTGGCTACAATAGCCCCAAAAAGGTAATCCATAGGAAAGGCGAGATTGTATTAATATAAAATATACTGACACAGTAGTAAACAGAAGCAAGTTGCTTGTTAAGTGCAGTGATATGCGACCAGTGGCGACGCGTGACCGGGGGAACCCCCGAACCATTTACCCCCCCCCCCCCCCAGGGTAAATGGTTCGGGGGGCTGAGAGAGCGCCCTCCAAAAACGCGCCGCAGGCGTAATTTTTCGCAAATTTCAAGGTCATTCACTTTTCCAGAACAATTATTTCATTTGTGAAAAAAATAAAACAAAACAAAAATGTATTTTCTTCAATATATTATGTATTTTCTTTTTGGCATCGTGATTTTTCTCTTGATAATTCGATCCTGGGGGGGTTAATTACCCCCAGTACCCCCCCCCCCCCCCCCCCGACGCGACGCCCCTGTATGCGACTGAAATTTGAAATCAATGTCAAGTTGAAGTCCAAGAAATTTAGTATTTATAGAGGATTTGATGGAGAACTGACCACAATCAATATCATCAACATTGCATCGAAACTCAAGCACCTGAGTTGAATAATAGTTTATTTGCCTCATACCAACACTTTATGGCCCTGATATCATCAGCCACACAACCGTTGAATCATCCGCGAACGCATCAAGATAGGGAAGATCATTTATACATATACTTATATGAGGAATAATATTTGTCCCAGGACTGCTCCTTGTGGAACCCCATGGACGATTGGTCGATCAGAACAACATTTTCCGTCCAGGGTGACACGCTGAATGCCATGTGAAAGATATGATTCGAACCGCTTTAAGTTCACACCCCGAAAGCCGTAGACCTCTAACTCTCTCAGCAATATTATGTGACTCACACAGTCAGAGGCCTTGGAGAAGCCACAGAACACCCCGGTCGGCGGTAGCAGAACCATTGTTGTCGTGCATCAGAAGCTAAATCCACCATACATTTTGTAAAGTTTTTCTACAACTTTGGATATTGTTGACAGCAATGATATTGGGCGATATGCGTACTTGAGACTAGGTGGAAAAGTGCATGATGAAAAGGACAGGTTGATTGTTTCCGATAGAACACCACAAGAGCCTGGTCCGGAAGTTCCCTCAAGATTTTTGTGGATATACCATCTGAACCGGCTGTTGACTGATTTCTAATGGACTCAAGAATGGATCTTACTTTATGGATATTGGTGTGAAAAAAAGAAACAAAAAATATTCATTGACATGCAAGTTTCTAAGATAACTTAAAATGGATCAACATCTGAGATGACGGCAGCAGTAAGGTTATCAGTGACAAGTGACAGTGCAATAAAAGCTGTTCAATTTTTCAGGATCAATGTCAATTTCTAGTGGTCTTAGTGCCGGTACTTTTGCTCTCAGGGCTTTGAATGTGCTCAAACCACATCATACGTATAGAACTTGGCCCATGCAAAACTTTGATGACGTATCAAATTCGTTAATCGAGAGCAAAAGTATCTACTATTTTTACTAGTAACATCTCTCACAATAGTCACAATGTTCCAGGTTTCCTTAGATTTATTGGCAGCATTGCTTAAACGATTTGAGTAGATCAAGTGTTTAGCAGTACGGATAGATTTCCTATAAATTTTTCTATATTTCAGATAAAAGGACTATCAAAAAAGTGTCTTCTTATAAGATTCTAAAATTTCCTTTTGCATTTTCCTCCTTAGCGATTCAGGAAGGCGGAAATTGTATCTTTTGTGTCCTCGTCGGTTAGTAAATAAATAAACTTTGATTGACCTTGAGGCGAGATCTGTTAGATGACCATCTTCCAATAAGTTCCGCAAATAGGTCTTGATTAGAAAGGGATTTCAAGGCATCTCATTCTTATTTCAGATTCGGCTTGAAAGAGTTGCAATTTTCGTGAAATTTATCATACTTAATATCTCCTATGTATCGGATGTCATCTAAATCCATCAAAAATGCGGTTCATTACGGGATATGTCAATGACGACGTACGTAATAGCTATTGATTTTAGAGTTTGTCTGTGGCTCCAAAATATTGATCTCTTGGTTCAGCTTCAAGCTTGTGTCTGCGCTTTCTTTTGATGTCGAAACAATCTGTTCAAATCTTTCCATGCCATCATTTTTTGACGGCTGTACAAAAACTATGTCATGATTGTATTCCAAATTAAATGCCAATTCCATAAAAAAAGAGATTTAAATGTTCACACGAGATGTGACTCAAGTTCATTGTTGGTTTAATCAAAATAGTTCATTACTCGAGCTCGAGGGCCCCCTGAAACTCGGGAGTTTTGGGTTGAGGGCGCTGCGGCCCACTTTAATTTATCTATAGTGAATCCGGCCCCAAAATTAAAACATTTCAATTGGAATGATTAAAGCCGGTTGGAATTTGGGCATAGGGCCACTTTAGCTTTGAAAAACTCTTCGTAAAGAGCAAATGCACTGGCTTACAGTACTTATTTAAGTCAATTGAAAACTTACAACGTCGAACTTTTATAACAAAATTGTTAAGGTAACTTTTTACATCTTACTTAAATGAATTCGAAATCCCCAAATTCCAAATTGATTGAGTTCATTTTGCCATAAATGAAACTCTCAAACTTCCATTACGCTGATTTCGTCTTTTTGTAACTGAAAACCTGAGGCCCCTAGAGATAGTGTTGACATATCTACCTAGCATTTTCCATATTAATATTGATGGAGATTGAAAACGAAAATTACTAAATAGAAATGTGTCAGATTCCGTGTGGACCAAATTATTTTTATAATAAATATTTGGAGGAGAAATGCATGAAAATGGACGTTTAATTAAAATTTCTATTTTGCGTTTAAATGAAAACGTTGATTTATTAGATTGTATACTTGTCATGTATGCACTTGAAATTTTATACGAATCAGTAGCTACTTATTTAATTTAGGGTAAAAATATGGGTTTTTAACCTACCTAATTTATATCAATCCCTGATAACACTTATTTTTAAATTTGATTTCCTTTATTGGGCCCCTACAAGTTTTACATATATACTATATACATAAACAAACCCTGAGAATTATTGTTAGTAGGATTTTCTTATGGAACTTCTTTAGGAGACCTTTTCGGTTTCTTTTCGCCTTCTCTGTCAGATAGATTATTTTGTTTTTTCGAAATTCGAAAAAAGTTAACTTCCAATTTTTGGGAATCCCTATAGTAAAAAGGAGGGATTTTCTTGGAACTTCCTTAAGAGGCGTTTGACGTGAAATTGCTAGGAGACCTTTTCGTTTTTTTTTTTTTTTCGCCTTCTCTACTGTATGGAATAATTAGTTTTGTCGAAATTCGAAAAATTCAACTCCCAATTTTGAGGAATCTCCAGTAAAAAAGAGGGATTTTCTCATGGAACTTCTTCAGGAGGCGTTTGACGTAAAATTGCCAAGAAACGTTTTCGGTTTCTTTTCGCCTTCTCTGTCGGATAGAATATTTTGTATTTTCGAAATTCGAAAAAAATCAACTCCCAGTTTTCGGGAATCACCAATAAAAAGGAGGGATTTTCTTATGGAACTTCTTTAAGATGAGTTGGACGTGAAATTGCCAAGAGACCTTTTCGGTATAGAGCAGGGGGGAATTAAATGATGGCCCTGAAGATGGC